GATTTGAGTTCATTGGTTCTTAGCAATTGGTTGCAAAACTAAAAAGCCTATGATTTAGTCTGCATTAGAATAGAACAATAAGGCTTAGCTGCTATCACTATCATTATCAGTATCAATGTCATTACTATGATAATCATTGTGTACCAGGAATATGCCCAGACCTGAAGAACAGCGGATGTGAATAGGTGTATTGACTCCTGATAAGTGAGTTCAAAGTCCCTGAAGAGTGCTGGCTGGATAGATTTCCACTTTCTTTGCACAAAGGAGAAAGCGACAGAAGCATAACCCAGTTTAGTTGCAACGCAATTCATTTCAATGGCTCCACACACCTACTTACTCATGGACTGAACTAAGCTGCCTTCCCTTTTTTCGAAGCATTGTTTAGCTGTCGAAGAGGACAGAGGACAAAGAGCAGAAAGGGCCCTGGCCATTGTCCCAAGGAGGCTGCCTAGCCTGATAGCCATCAGCTCTTCTCAATTAATAAGCCCCTTTTACTTCAGCTCACATTGACATGGGGCTTGGATTTGGTTCAATCAGTTGAGTAAGATAAGAACCCAGAGGGGTTTGATCCTTGGTTACACTAGAAGCGGCCCATAGGAAGGGAGCATCTTAAAAGGTGAGAAGCAAAAGGCAGCACCTTCATCATAAGAGTAAATGGCACAGGCTCCAGTTACTGTCATATTTACATTGGGGAGCAATTTGTGGTCAGAGCTACAGAAACAATGATTCATCTTCAGGCTTTTTTGTCAATCATGAAACTGCCATCACAGTTAAACTTATCAAAACAATATGATTAATTAATCTGGATTTGAGGACTTGGATCCAATATAGCAGAAAGGCTCAGCGCATACTCAGCTTTGGATCTTGGCTCCTTGATCTTGGGCAACCGGTTTCCTCATCTGTAAAAGGAGGATAATAATTGTACTTACCTCTTAGGGCTGTTGTGAACATTAAATAAGTTAGTGCGTATAGAGTGCTAATTACGGTGCCTGGGCACACCGAAATTATAAAAGTGTTAGCTACTATTTATTATCTTTATAATTTAGGTGTGGCAGGGGGCGGGGTGGGGGGTTCTGGAGTAAGCATGGGCTTCATTTCATTCAATAAAAAGTTTCTCTGTGTCTACTAAGTATCAGGTGCTAGATTCAGATGTGAGGAAGACACAGCCCTATCCTCAAAAAGTGTATGGTCTAGTGAGGGAGGAAGTCACATAAAGATATCCATTATAATACACTGTCACAATGAAAATTAACACAAGGTGCAGGCTTTGCACAAAGGAGGGAGTGATGGACTCTGCCTGGGGGAGTCTCTGAGAAGAGACTTCTGAGCTGGGTTTCGAAGGTAGAGGGAATTTGCTAGATGAGCAAATGGAAGGTGGAGGATTCCAGGAGGCAGAGGGATAGCACTGTAAAGACACAGACTCATAAAACAATGCACTTGGTTTTGCTGGACTATAAAATGTGGGAGTGGGGGGAGGAGAGGGTGGGAGATGTAAATTAAAGACCATCCTATAAGTACATTTGATTTCATATGCATCAATGTTGCAGCATCCAAGTGGCGGGGGATGGAGATAGGTCAAAAAGAGGCAACTGTGGCCAGATCATGAAAAGCCTGGCATTTACTTAGTTCTGTTGTGTGTAGGCTGAACCAAGGCAGTGGTGGGGGAATGGAGAGGGAACAAGAGGTAATTAGCGGGTAGGACTGTCGGGGCTTGGCGATTGAGTGGAAGTGGGAGGTGAGGGAGAGGGAGGAACCCAAACTCACTCCCAGGTTTACCAAGTTTGACACACAAGGCGGCTTGTGGTTGCACCAATGACTTTGAGACTATAGGAAGAAGAGCAGACAATAAGAAGGTAAGCTCTGGCTTGGACGTGTTCAGTTTGTGATGCCTGTGGAATATCCGAGGGGGATTGTAAGCAGCTGGAACTACACGACAGAGGTTCTATGAAGTGAATTTATAGAGCTTGTCTGGAGGCATGTGGTTGGGATAGAACCCGGAGCCCTAGGATATAATTTTGATAATGGCTAACATTTCACATGTGCTTGCTACATCCCAGGCTGTGCTGTGTGCTTTGTAGGCAATCCTAAATCAGGGGCCATGTTTACTTTGCTAATCATTTCACCTCTAACAACTGGCACATAATGGGTGTACAATAATTTTTGTTGAGTGGATGCTCCCATTTAGTGCTCACAACAATCCTATGAAGCAAATATAACTAGGGTCCTCATTTTACAGATGGGACAATGATCTAGGGAAGGTTAAATAAGTTCACCAAGGTCATACAACTGATAAGTAGCAGATCTTAGATTTGAAATCGGCTCTTTGTGACTCTAAAGTCCAACGTGCTTAAATGCTTTCCTAGAATGTTAAAATCTGCCCCCAAGTATGTTCTTATGTGACCTAAGGCGAGACTAACCCCTCTGAGTCTGTTTCTGTTACCAAATTAGGAGTGGGTTTCCAAAATCTCAAAGCTCCCTTTCCAGCTTCAAAACTGATGACATTAGCTGACTTCTGTGGAAATGCCCTGAAGGGGTCCACACTGCATCATAGGGTAGAAGGCTTGAGCAGCATATGCAGTGCTGCAGGGGTGCAGCAAGTGCCATGAGCAGTCTGTCCCAGGTGCAGGCAAAGAGGATGGGTTAGGGTTCTATTTATGCATAACGAAGTACCGAACACATAGCAGCTTCAAACAACACACATTAATTATCTCACAGTCTCTGTGGGTCAGTGGTCTGGGCACAACTTAGCTCTGTTCTCTCCCAAGGCTGCAATCTATGTGTCATCCAAGCTGTGTTCTCAGCTGGATGATTGAATGGGGCAGAGTCTGCTTCCAAGCTCATTCTGGTTGTTGGCAGACTTTATTTCCTTGTGATTATACAACTAAGGGCCTGGCTTTTTGCTGGCTGCTGGTTAGAGGCCACCGTTAGGTCTTTGCCATGTGAGCTTCCTCAACATGGCTGCTCACTTTGTCAAGCCCACCAGGAGAGCCCACTAGTATGTTCTAGCAAGATGGAGGCACACATATAAAATGACAATCACAGGAGTGACATCCCATTGCCTTTGCCAGCTTCTATTGCTTAGAAGCAAGTTTCAGGGTCCACCTGCATTCAAAGAGAGGGAACTACACAAAAGCATGGACACCAAGAGGCAGGAATTATTGGGGGTCACCCCAGGGTCTGTCATCCACAAGGGGTCACAATACCTGCTGAGAATGTAAAATTAGTAATAAAACAACATAAACTGACAATTCTAGAGGTTGTCAGTGACAAAAATACGTCTTCCTCAAAAAAATCTTGTTAAGTTCTAAACAGTTGCTGAGATTACTGTTGATTTTTCATAATGCATATGTAAGCCTCATTTAAAAAATTACTTATCCTTGGGGCCGACCGTGTGGTGCGTTGGTTAGGAGTTGGCTTGGGACCCCAGCTCTGAGCAGCAGGGCCCCCGTTTGGATCCCACATGAGGGCCAGTGATGCTGCGCCCTCTACAGCTAAGACGGTGAACAACAGCTCGACCTGGAGCTGGGCTGCCATGAGTTGTGGGCTACAGCATAGGCTGCAGTGGGGCTGCAGTGGGCTGCCGTGAGCGGCCGTCCAAGGGCCGGCAAGTGACTGCCTCACCCGGAAAGAGCACAATGATAATACCAACATGGGCCAGTGACGCGATGTCCTCCACAACAAGACTGAAGAACAAAAGGACAGCAACTTGTCTGTTCCCCTTCCCTGATTCCCCAATAAAACCTTAAAAAAAATTACTTATCCTTGAAAGTATGTATTCAACATGGAAGCAAACTCCCAGTTACACTAACAGCTGGTCTCCAACACATGAACTTTGTAATGTGCCTTCACTTTAGGGGTAAGTTTGTAATGGTTCAGACTCATTTGAGATTATTTTGGTTATAGTGTGTCCTCAAGTATGTGGCAGTACACAGCACTGAGTGTAAATGTAGATCTGACTGTAAAGACAAAGAAACTGAAGTTGAGTTACTTCAGTTCTGTTATTCAATATGACCATTTGGAGTTTCTGTGTTTAAAATTTAAAACCCTGAAGCAGTGCAAACTGAGACAAGCAATTCTTTTATTCGATAAGTGCCCATTTCAGTTAATACATGAAGTACTTTATTAAATTGTAATATACACTTTACAATGGAAAATTCTTTTAAAATTGTTTATTTTAAAATTAAAAACCGAATCAGGAAAACAAAACATTACATCAGTGGTATGATTGAGTAGTTGCCTAATACTAGGTAAGCTACTGTTTGCTATTGAGGAATAAAAATAGCTAGCACTAATTTTGGCTCACAATGTGCTAGACAGTGTCCCATACACACACACATACACGCGTATATTAATTCATTAAAACAACCTTAGCAGGTAAGTCTTGCTATTATCATTATTTTATAGATAAAATAGTCTGGGGGGCGCAAAAGGATTGTCTTCTGTTCAAGATCATCCAAAGAGAATGGCGGCGCTAGAATTCAAGCCCGGGTAGTTCCAATTCCTGAATTCTTAGCCGCTAGTAAGAAAAAATAAAGCAAACCCAAAATCCCCAATAACCTTGGAGGCTTATGGAAGCCCTTCAAAAAGAACAGGCAGGCTTCTTTCCATCCAGGAGCGCTCCTTTCTATTCCTGACCTGCCCCTGCTGGATTCTGGGCCGAGGGAAGGCTGGCTTCTCAGAGACCTCCCAGACCGGGTGGTCTCCTGGCGTCGCCTCCCCCGCCCTCTCAGCACCCTCGTCTGCCAAGCCCAGGTTTCTCCTGGCCCTTCCCAGCTTCTGGCCCTTTGCTCCAGGTCAGGTCGCTGGGTCAGGCCGCGCCAGGAGCTTGCGAGTCTTCTATTTACTGTTTGGTTTCCATGGTGACACGTAGGCGCCGTCATCGCCTCCCGTCACCCTCCCCGCAGCACTGTCCGCACCCGGCGCCGTGACGTCTGCCCGCCGCTTCCGCTCTGCCCATATTTGGCGCCGCCACCGTGCCGCCGGACGGGTGGAGACTGGGAGCCGGACTCCCGCCTGGTTCCACCCCTGTCCCCGGCGACGCCCCCGTGGAGCGCTCCGGCATGTTGTTCCGCGTGCCCTCCGCCCCTACCCCAAGACCCCAGCAGAGGCGAGCGCTAGGGACCCCCAGAGAGGAAGTGGGTGATGGATGGTCGTTCCTTGACGCGTTGAGGCTGCAGTCAGGATTTGGCGCTGTCTCGTCTGTGCCCGGTGGGTGAGCTGGGATCACGATTTGCTCACTCTGTGCCCAGAAATCATGGAAACAGCGATCCCTTGCCTATATCTATGTTATATTTTATAGCCTTGAACTTAGGATTCTCGCCCATGGCTTCGTGCAAAGCGTTGTGGACCCGACGTTTTGGGATCGCTGTTGCCCCTTGGGGCATAAGTGACCTTAGGAAGGTCACTTCCCTTTACCCGGCCTGGGGGTGGGGGTGGGGATGGGACCGTAAAGGCTGCAGCAGTATCGTCAGGTTTGTGAGGGGAGATCGTGTATCACCTAACTACCCCCCCTCCCCCGACATAATTGGAATGCCAGTGAAGTTCTTTGAGGACCCCTGCAATTCTGACCCTGTAGTAACTTTATTTGTGTCTTTTTGCGCCTTGCCCATATTAGGCGCTTAATTAACTTTTTAACCGATTATTGAATTAACCACAGGGAAATTACCTTCGGATTTCACCTTCGTAAAACTGGACCCCCGCAATTCCTCTTACAGGCGGAAGGAGGAATATTGCGATGAGTAATAATCGCGCAGTAAGGTTGCTGATGTAAAGCGATTTGCAGATGTAAAGGGCAGTAAGCATTCCTGGGAGGAATCCAGCGAGATTCCAGAAGTGTCTGAGGGAGCCGTGGGTGTGTACCGCGGGGCCTGAGGGCGGGGGTGGGGCGGGCAGTGCCGCAGTGGCCACTGCTGGGGAGCCCGGTGCCGGCTTGGAGTTAACTCTTCGGGGCGCTCAGCCGCGGCCCTCCCCGCCCCCCGCCCCCATGCCCCAGTTCCTCTGGCCACAGGCACGTGTGCTTTTCAAAATTTCAGAGCTGAAACGCACATCAGAGATTCTCTGATTCAGCCTTTTTATTTCACAAATGGGGAAACTAAGGGTCAGAGAAGTTGGTTCACCCATTCAAACTTGCACAGCTAGTTAGAGACAGATAAAAGCCAGGCTATCTGACTTCAAACTACGGTAGTTTCCCTTCCACCTCACCTAGGTACCTCTAACCTCCTGGGCTTTAGACCCCGTTGCCTGGCTGAGCTGGTGGGGTGTACGGTAAAGGTAAAAACTGACTTCAGGGCTCCTTTAGGCAGGCTTGCTCTACACAGCCCATGGCATGGCACCAGGGCTTGGGGCGATGGTCAGGAGGTGTGTACTCCCAAAGCCACAAGCACTCCTCTTTACAGTGGCTGGAATGACCACCCTTGTCCAGAGACCCTTAGTGGCTGTCCTGAAACCAGTCTTAGGCAGCAGTTGGTAATTTTTCATAGTTACCCAAGCCTTGTTATTAAGCCTTTGTCAGCCAACACAACAGTAGAAGGCATGAGAAGTCTGAACCCATGGAAACACTTTTTCTGGTCTTTGAAAGTTTTTTTCATGGCATGTAGAGGATAGATCCCGTGGGGGGAATGCCTCTATTGTCTCTCTTCCGTTTCAGTCTCACTCGATTTCCTTTTACAGTCTATATTCTATTTTTTCCCTAACTTTTAGGCTTATTATGAAGGCAGCTCAGACTGAGAAGACTAGTGCCGGCTGCTGGCCTCGGGCCATTCCAATTGGCTGATGTGAGAAGGAGTCTGGGAGTCGGCCGCGTTTCTCTGGTTGCACTAGGAGCTGAAGCGGCAGAAGTGGCAGCTCTGCCCCCTAGTGGACGTGCGCAGCAGAGCGCCCCTCTCCAATTTCAGAAGCACCATCACTGTGGTGCAGGATAGGGGAAGAGATTTACTGTGTTCACGCTGGTGGAAATAGCCAAACTTGGCAGAAAAAAAAAATCCCATGTTTTCCCCTCTCTATAGTTTATTTCTGAGGAGCTGGTCGATTTGAACACAGGAAACACTTCTGTTTTTTTGTCTTCTCTGGACTGCTTTTTTTTCTTCCTGCTAGCCAAACCCGATTTCAAATTCCACCTCCTTTATAACAACGGTTCAGACTCTCCTCTTATGTATCTTCTGAAATACGCCTGTGCACAGACCCAGCACACAGGGCGCACACTTATATGCTGTCTTTACTATGGTTTCCTTGAGGCTGGAGGCCATGCCTTGTGTGTCTTTTGTGTCCGTAGATTCACCCCGCAGTGCCCAGCACAGGGCTGGGGACAAAAACTGCTCTCAATGAGCCCTTGCTGATTGATTAATTAATTGATTAATTTCTACAAAATCAACTCTAAGACCTTGCTTTGATAAACCTTTCAGAACTCTAAGTTCTTTGGGGGAATCTAGAGAGTGACCTAGTTAAATATAACCTTGCACAATGAGTAGTTTCACAAGAGAACACCCCCACCCCCACCCTCCAGAGAGGGATGAGGAAGTCTTAAGTGGACTCTCAGAGAAAGATGGGGAGGAGGGTGGCGACATGGAATGGTCAAAGGATGAAAAATTAGGAGAGGAGGGCCTCTGCTCCTGGGATCAGAGAGGCAGGACAGGCTCCACCACTTGCTGTGTGGCCTTGGGCAACTTTCTTCTCCTGTCTGTGCCTCAGCTTCCTCCTCTGTAAAAATAGGTACCCATCTCTGATGTGATGAAGATACATTGACTTGATATTTACGAAGTGCTAGAACAGCACTTGGCACGTAGTAAGTGCTATATAACAGGTTGTAAATGAGTTTTCCAGCTTGGCTGTCTTGTAAATGAAATAGGGGAAGACTGTATGATCTCTCGGTCCCCTTCACACCAGCCTTCTAGGACAGTGCATGAGCTTTGGGGTCAGGCAGGTCTGGATTGACTCCTGTCTCTGTTAGCAATTGTGTGACCTTGGACAGATCGTTCTGTGTCTTGGAGCCTCAGTTTTCTTGTCTGCAAAATGAGAATAATTGTGTCTACCTCAAAAGACTGTTGTGTGTATTACAAGTTTGTAAAATGCCCAGCATAGAAGAAGCTTAATAAACAAACTATAGTTATTATCCACGAGAAGAGCCATATATAAAGGAGAACCGAGTCTCCAAAATCTTTGCTGCTTCAAGAAACATCGCACTGAACATATTGAATAGCACTGAGCCCGGCTCTAGTCATGGAGCTTCGGGGTGGGAGGGTAGGCCCTGGCTCTGGGCCTTGACGAGATATCGCTGCATGTGAAGAAACCAGGAATGGCTTGGCTTGCACATCGACTCTAAAAACATTTTCTGCCCGAGGGTTGTGCTGAGGGTGTGGACTCAGTGAGGCTAGGTGCCAGCAGCTGCAGGCCCTTCCTGCTTTCCTTCCCAGGAGGGGGCACTTCAGTAGGAGAGGGTGTGGGCAGAGAGGCCTGCTGTTGGTGAGTGTGTGTGTGGGAATGGCCCAGAGACAGTCGGCCCTGGGAGCTGGACTCCCAGGCCTGGTGCGGACTCCATCGTGGCAGAACCTGTCCGCACAGCTCCTCGGAGCTGCCATTCCCAACCCTGATGGAGGACACCCCAGACTGTTTGCCAGCAATTATCCGAGGGGTGGAGGGAAGGGAGGAGGTTATGGCAGTCTTAAAGCCAAATTAATCCCCTTCAGCTGCATGTGTGGAAAAGTACTAAACGGAATGTACAAATGCTGTATGAAGTCTGTCTGAAGGGGAAGGAGGGTTGCAAAATCCAACAATGACAGAGTGTTGCAATCCCAGGCATGTTAGGAATCACTCTCATGGTCCTCCCACTTGACGGCTCTTGTCCCCTGTGACCCACAAAGAGTTGTGTGCTCCCCAACAGGTCAGGGTCTGCATTAAGTTGTTCAGGGATTCCAAAACCTGGAAAAATCCACCTGAAGAGCTGTTTGGGGATCACAAGGGAATCTGGAAGCCTCACTCCAAACACATATTTCCAGTAATGGCAACAGGGTGGGTCCTCATGAGTAGCACCTAGAGCAGAAATCAAAGGCAGGAACATGGCTTAAGAAAAGTCATGAAGGTGCTCATATTGGCTGTCTCTCCAGAGGAGGGAATGTGTTTTTATTTTCTTCTTTTTGCTTGTTGTACTTTCTGATTCTTTTTTTGTTTGTATTTGGCAAGTGCATATTGCTTTTGTAATAAGAAAAAAATATTATTAAAATGTTCCCTGCAGAGTACTATGTTCGTTTTTTTGGTTTTGTTTTTTTTTTTAAAGATTTTATTGGGGAGTTGGGGAAGGGGAACAGCCAAGTTGTTGTCCTTCAGTCTTCGTTGTGGAGGGCACAGCTAGCTCAGCCCCAAGTCCAGTCGCCATCTTGCCACCTGTTGGCAGCTCAGCGGCAACTCAGCTCTGGCACAGCTCACTGGCTCATGTGGGAATAGAACAAGCGACCCTGTTGCTCAGAGCTCGCGCTCCTAACCAACTGAACCACTCGGCTGGCCCAGTATGTTTGTTTTTTAAAATAGATAACAGAACATCATAAATGGGAAGGCTCAAACACCTCCTGATTTTATTTTTCTTTTCCCCATTTCCAAAAGAAATAGATCCTCATAGTAAAACCTTCAAAAAAATTCAGATACTCAAAATAAAGAAAATAAAAATCACCTGTGATTCCATCACAGAGATAATCAGTGTCAACATTGTTTTTCAGTGTCAACATTTTTTAATTCTCTTTTTCCCAGGTACACTTTAGTTTAATACTCATTAGTTTATGTACTGTAGTTTTTATGAAAATAGGCCCATGATGTAATACTGTTTTGTAATCTGCTTTTTCTACACAGTAGATCATGGAACATAAACTATTTTTCTATGTGATCACTTTAACCAACCCTGTACCGGTGGACTTTGTGTTGTTTCTAGATTTTTTGCTATTATAGAGGAGGCGGCAAATATCTTTGAGGCTAAATTTTTGTGCATATCCAGGATTATTTCTTTCAAGGTGGGCCAAGGGTGTGCTGCTTTGTAAGGCTTTTGAAATGTAGTCATGTAGTCCGTACAGTATCTCATAATCTATTGTGCAGTCCCTGTTACAAATGGGGAGGTAGCATTGGCTCAACAGTTTCTAGTTGTGTCATCTTGAAGAAATTACTTTCTCTACACTTCAATTTCCTTGACTGTAAATCTGGAATGATAGTAGCTAAGATTGTTGTGAGGATTGGATGAAAAAGTGTGTATAGTAGTGCCTAGAGCAGCACACGATAAGCCCTCAATAAGTGGTGCTTGTTTCTGATTTATGGGTTGTCTTTTCTTCAGTGAAAGAAACTGTCTTGAAATTGAGGTCTGGTTGCCTGGGAAAGGCCGGGGGGTGGTGGGGGGGTCGGGGTGTGTGAGGGGGATAGATTGAGCAGGTTTAAATGGTGAATGGGGATGTGCTGGAGAGTGGCAGGTAGAAGTGGACAAGTAATAGAGAAAGGGCTGATGGGTGGGGTGAGGAAAGGTTAGCAGAGAAGAGAGTGGGCGGTAGGACAGGAAAAGGGAACTCAATGGATAGGGCAAGATAGTCACATGGACCATTTGGAGAAGGGACCCTTGGAAACAGAGCCCCGAGTCTGTCACTTTGCGGCTTGGAAGGCCACCTCTGTACAATCTGAGGCTGAGCCTATGTCCTCTGGCCCCCAGCTCTCTCCAGGCTGCTTTCTGCCTTCCTTTCAGACTCATGTTGCATCACTCCATGCTAGCCCTCTTTCAGTTCCTTGAGTGTACCGTGTTTCTCCCTATTGTGTGACCTTTGTACATTCTGTTCTCCCTGCCAGGAACTTCTACTTTTCTCCTGGCTAACTCCTATGCATCCTTCAGACCTCAAGCTTAAAGCTCACTTCCTCAGAAATATCTTCCCTGACCATTCGGTATAAGCCAGCCCCGCTCCTTCCTGTTACTCTCTCATGGCCTCTGCACCCACATGGCAATGTCAGGGTTTGTAGTCACGTTGTGTACCCTTGGTGTCTCCCCAGGCTGGACGCTTCATGACATCAGGATTAGGGTCTGTTTTTGGCTCCCTATTGTATCCTTGATGGCATAGAAGACACTTCATGAGCATTTGTTGAAATGGCAGAAGAATAAGCCAGTTCATTTGTGACCTGTAAAATGCTTTTATACCCCTCTTGTGGCTTCAGTTCCACCTTGATTGATGCTGGCTGATTGGCTGAAGGAACAGGAGATTGGGGGGCTCTAAGGGATGCCATAACCAGCTCTTCTATCATCCTCCTTTCCCTTGAGGAAGTAGACTTCCCTTTCTAAGCCTAGAACTTTAAGCCAGTGTTTCTCAAACTTTAATATGTATATACATTACTTGGGGATCTTAACATGAACATTCTATTTCTGGAGGTCTAGGGTAGGGGCCAAGATTCTGCAGCTCTAACAAGCACCCGGTGATGCCCATGTTGTTGGTCTCAGAACCATTCTGAGCAGCAAGACCATCAAACTACAGCTTCTTTCTCTTCTAGGGACCACTGACATTCCCACGCTTAAGATTGAGTTGCTGCGCCCTCTGTTGGTCATTGGCGGGTATTACACCCTTGACCAAGTATATAGATAAATACAGCATTCATGATTTAAAACTCACACACAATTCTTGGGGAGTAAGAGCTGCTAAAAGCAGATGGGCACACAGATTCTCATAGTGTTAGAAAAGAGTAACTCTGTAACGTATCCCTGTCATGCTGAGACGAGAGGAATCCAGAACTGAAGGATGTTAGGGTTGGGAGAAGCCTTTACATTCATCTAGTCTGGGACTTGCTTCTTCCTTTGCCACTGTTTGCCTCCCCCAAACCCGCCCCGTTTTTGTTTTTGTTTTTAAATAGTAGAGGCTTTCCTTCATTAGCGCTGTGTTATAACTTTCATGGGCTGTAGGCACTTTGGCCTTTGTGGGTCCTTCCTCCATAAAAATTAAAAATTGTATTTTATGACTGCATTGGTATAAAGGTGAATATTATAATATATATATATAAAGTCATTTTTTGACATAAAAATTAAGTTTTTTCTTGTGATTTTA